AAGGATGTTTACTGTTAGAGTTGCCCAGACGGAGTCGTGTCCCTATCCTGTCACCAGTGGAGTGCCACAGGGTTTTGTTCTCGGACCTGTATTGTTCCTCCAGTTCGTGAATGACCTACCCTCCCAGTTGAGCTCATCTGGTCTCCTTTACGCGGATGACGTGAAACTGTGGAAAACCAGGAGAACACCAGAGGACCACCAGGCCCTCCAAAAGGATTTGGATGAGTTGCATCAGTGGGCTGTCGTCTGGCAACTTCCAGTGAACTCGTCAAAATGCGCTCATATGCACCTGGGACGGAATACACCGGATATTCCTTATCTGGTGAACAACATTCCACTGCGTTCGACGACTACCGAGAGGGATCTAGGAGTTATTGTCTCTGCATTCATGAAGACACAGATCAAGTACGCCTGAGCATGTTCTACGGCAAGGAGTATGCTAGGTGCCATCCGTCCGTCGTTTGACGGCTTGTCGTTCACAGCCTTCAAGAAGTAGTTTGCCTCCCATGTTCGCCCCCGGCTTGAATACGGTGGACCCGCTGTTTACCGCTGCACGCTTTCCGAAATGGCCAACTTGGAACGGGTACAGCGCTACGCCGCCCGCCTAGTCGCGGGACGTCAAGGGATCAGCTATAAATGTTGGCTCCAGACACTCGAACTCGACCCCGTTAGCTACAGGAGACTCCGCGGGGATATGATCTACCTGTGGAAGATTCTACGTGGCAATCTGAGACCGGAGTTACGTGCTATGTTTCCACTACGAGATTGCAATCGGACGCGCGGCCACAGACTCACCCTCGGGAAGCTTGAGTCAAGGGGTCTTCCTCTAGTTTATTGCCTTTCCCGATGGGCGACTTCCCTCTGGAATTCACTCCCGCCAGAGGTGGTGGAGGAGCAGAACGAGGCGCGTTTCAAACGCCGTCTCGACGAGCACTTGGTGAGATGATGGCAGCTTGCAGACCACTGAGTGGGTTTCTATCACTACCGGCGGTGAAGAGGCTCATACGGGGTGCGGCTCCTCTGCCTTTTCAACACAAAGATGAAGATGAAGACCTATTGGCTATTAGACCTAAGCCAGAAGCCTTTATCCCTCGTGACCCTGAAGTGTGGTTTGCTGCGTTAGAAACGCAGTTTATCGCTAGTAACGTGCGGGGCCAGCGCTCCAAATACGTTTACGCCGTATAGGCAATCCCTGGCGACCGAATGTCCGCCATTAGGGATATTATTCCTAACCCGCCGGAGAAGGACGAGTACGACGTTCTGAAGGCTGCTACCCATCAGTTCTACACCCCCTCTAGCGAGGAAAGGCTGGGCCAGTTGCTGGCTCGTCACCAATTAGAGACACGACGCCAAGCAGGCATCTGGCGCGTCTACGCACGTTGGGGGGCCCAGCAAACGCCCACTCGGATATCGTCAGAAAGCTGTGGCTTGAGTCGTCGCTGTATTGCTTGATCTGTGAAAATCCTTCCTGTAAAGCCCAGTTATTCCATCTCGGTTCCACATTTCGTGAATTTTACGTTCCATTCACCAAACATCATCCGCCTCACATACATATAGACATTTGACGTTCCACTCCCCTTGTATATTTACACATTAATCCTACCATTTGACTTTGTTTGTTTATCTGCTTCAATTTTATCTTACTTGTTTTAATCGCGACTT